TTGCTAAGTTTACATACAAATGCAGTGAAGAGATTTTTTCTTGATTCTAAGATAACTTTTTTGTTTGTTGTGAGAGCAAACAAATAAGGCTATTAATATTAAACTGGCTCTTGTTCTCCCAAGTCGCTTCTGGTGTGAGAGAATTGGCCGTCTGCAAGGATGTTGCCCAGGGGACGCCCGGATAATTTTATGTTTTATCATTCTTGTGGGAGGCTTCTCTCATGTCCCTGCATGAGGAGCTGGAGCTGATAGAGGGAGCTCATCCGCCTCTCCCTGGATTCGAACCTGCAACCTGTCGGTCTTCAGTCCTGCCGGCACAAGGGTTTAACCCACTGCACCACCGAGGGCTCCATGAGTGATTTGAAAGTAGTCATATCTGTCACACAATCCCCTCCCGCATACACACACTTGATATTGTTCATGGGAGGATGGGAATGTCAAGACAGCTGCTTCAAAATAGGTAGGGGAACAGAACCCTGTCACTTATTGCCTCATGAATGGAGATTGTGGAAGTTTCACGGTCCCTAAATATTCACCAAACTAGTAAATAAGGATCCTGAGTACAGAAGAGTCAGGAATTTGTAACTCTGCATTATGCATTTGTAAGTACCTTCGTGAATGTCGACCATTGTGTTGGAGCTGATTTTGCAGTGTGATAATAATTTTTAAAATAGACTTAATTATATATAGTTTCCGTAGATGTAATTAAATCTATTTTTTAATGTTTAACTGGAGACATAGGAATATTCTGGAACCAATAATTTTGGCTAGATTCTCTGGTTAGAATTTCCTTTGGCTCCAATTTCACATTGATGTTGACTTTCAAGATTAGTACAGAGAGAGTGGTGGGAGAGAGTCTGCCAGTTAGAAAAGAGCTAGAAGAACCTGTGGTGTGGCTCAGTAGAAAGCAAGTTCATGTGCTCGCAACCCACTGAGCCTGATAAAGTGGATTCAAACCTAGGAAATCCAAGTTCTTTCTGAGATTTAAGTAACATTTTTTTCTGTTATCAGTAAAATGAACATTCTAACGATGAGTCAATATGAGAAAACCCAGGCTCAGCTGTCACTTCAGTTGTGGAATCATTGTACTGTAAGGGTGTTGGAAGCGACCAAAGTAGAAATGCTTGCAAGCTGTGTGCTTCTCTGCTTGAACATCTCAGGAGCATCTTTTTCCATACTTCCTCCTCCTGGATACATCTATACAATCCTAACATTGGGTAAAGAAGAGAAATCAGTGAAATGCTGGACTTAATCCCATCCCACACTGCTATCTTCTTTTCCTTTTGTGTCATGTCCTAGTTAGAATGCAAACTTGGGGGCAGGAAACTATTATGTAGTTCTTTTACTTGTAAAGTGTCATGTACAGCTATGGTGTTATATAAATGGATGATGGTGATATTCGGTGAGTGGCACTTTAGGAGGCCTTGTGCTGTGGAAACTCTCCAAGGTGCTGTTTCCCATCAAGAGTTTCTGGGCTGCCATCCCACAAGTCCGCTCCCTTTATTCAACCCTGTGACAAACTAATGTTGCATAATATGTCTGTTCAAAATGTTTGCAGGGCTGATGCTTTTTATGCTTTATGATTTCTTTAACCTATTTGCTAAAACAAAACTTTATTGCTGTTATTACTTCCAGTTTTTTAAAATTATATTTGTGGCTTTTAAGGCTTTCCAGGCAAAATAGATGATACTTAATACAATTCAAAACTTTATTAGGTCTAACTCCAAAAGCTCAGTTTAAACAAGTAGAAAGGTAGTGCTTATTAAGGGAAACGATTTCAATTTTTCACATACAGTGGGCCCTTGGGATCCACAGACATTTGGTTCCATGTCACCCCTCCCCAAAATACATGAATGCTCAAATCCTAGTATATGCAGTGACATTGTAAAATGCTGTTCCTTATAAACATGGCAAAATCAAAGTTTACGGTTGGGATTTTTTTACATTTTTTAGAAAATGTCAACCCAGTGTCATATTGTAGTAAAATAAAAGATGGACTACATGTTAGGCTTTTCCTCTTGAGAGTTGAATAAATAATCAGGAGGCATTTCTCTGTCTTTGATATCAATCTGAGATGGAAAATTTATTCAAGTTTATTCAGCTGGGTAGACTTGTTCTCATGAGAGATGTCGTTGGTAACTTCACAAATAAAGAAAAGAAAGACAAAGATTATCTGGCCACCAAAGTATCTTCTGCCTAAATCCGTTACTTCTTCAAAGTTCAAATATAATATTTTCATGCTGTGTCCTTTTGTTGTTTTAATGACTCATTATGTGGTGAAATCCCCTTGTTACTCATGAGCCCTGAGGGCTTTCAAGATACCAAGGAGAACAATATTTAACAGGTGATGACTCCAGAAATAAATTTTGTAAGGGGATGGTGAATGATTTTAGGAGATGAACAAGAGGCAAGACTAAAGTACAGGAAGCAGCTGCTTATTGGAAACCATAAACAGCTGTGGCAGATCTTTGAAAAAAAGGCCACATTTGAAAGCAAGATCTTCCTTTCACAATGTCAAGAAATTAAAACCCAGATGACGTCAACATGAGAAGGGATATAGCTAAATAAAGCTATAATGTCACTAAATCAGACCAGAAGCCAATTTCTGTATCTCTGGTTATCCCTCCATTTTAGCCCACACCAAAACACCAGGAGAACCGTGCCTTTGAGGTACAATTCGTTTTACACAAAATGCTTCTTGACATCACTTCTTATAGCAGAGCATTCCTTAAATGTTCATTCCAAACAAAAAAAACCCTACTTTTCCTGTTTCAAGTGGTGCAGTTCTAAACATGTTCCTTGCTTCTCAAGAAGATGCCCACTGCCTCTCCAAAAGGCCTCAGTTGTTGGCTTTATGATGAGATCTGAATGTCATGCTGAGAGTTAGATTCAAATCCTCACCTCACTGTCTTGTTGTGAATGGGTAGGACATGTGATGGGGCACAATTGAGGTTCAGCCACTGCTGCTTCTACAGCAAAGGGAAAGAGCCAGTCAGTCTCCACTGCACAGGCAATCACTCTGCTTTGCAACAGAGTTGTCATCCCTAATTATCTTTGTGTATTTACATTAGTAAAGTACTGAGACACAAAGTAAGTAGCTTTGAAAATACCTTCTTTTGAATTTTATGGTCTTTCCTGAAAGACTCCAGGCTTTCTGAACGTAGGTTACTGCAAATGTCTCACAGCAACCCTTGACTTTTATTTTAATTACCTTCATAAATCCAAAATGTTGTGTGAGTCAATGGTATTCCAGTCTCTGAAAGCTGGATCCCGAGGTGCTCTCCAATGAGTAGAAGATGTCTTCCATGTGTTCCTTTTTTCTGTCTTCATGCAAAATCCTTGTGTAAAAACAAAAAAAACCACAGATCTGAAAGCTAGGCATATGTTTGTGTTTTTGCAAGGTATCATTCACCATGTCTGGCATAAGGCATTCCATAAGTTATTGCCCTGTTTCTTGGAGAATGTCACGACAGTGTCTTATGTCTTCACGGGAAAATATAACTGTGAGAATTTCTTTTGCGAGTTCATCTCTGCATCCAACCCATTATGTTTTATTTGTTGTATTTTTCCCACAATATTTTTATTGTTTCAACATTGCAACTTCTATCTATCTATCTATCTATCTATCTATCTATCTATCTATCTATCTATCTATCTATCTTGTAAGCTGCTCTGAGTCCTCTTTGGGATGAGAAAGGTGGAATATAAATGTCGCAAATAAATAAATAAATAAACTTCTTGCTTACACGTAGTTTCCGTTAGTGCTTATGCTTATACACACTCCAAGTTCAAGAACACTTTATTACATTCAATGACCAGTTTGAGAGAAGAGGGGCATAATCCCATACAAGCATATCAGAGTTAAGGGTTAAGAGATTTATATCTTTAAAATAAACGTATCATTGTTAGGAAATTAAGATAATTAATTTAAGGATCTAAGATAAAAACCATATACAGGATTATATTAAATCCCAACACAATTTATGGTATTGAAGGAAAGGGAATCTAAAGGGATTCATTTTCATGTAACATTTCTTTTATCTGCACCTTCTTTTTTGTATACATCCTTCTCTTGTTAGCCGTCCTGAGTCCCTCTGCGGAGGTTGAGATATGACAGGATATAAAAGCCCTAAATAAATAATAAATAAATAAATAAATAAATAAATAAATAAATAAATTCAATGTCAGGGGACTACCTTTACCTTACCTATGACATTTTAAAATTCTTAACACCCCTCATCCTCACCACCCCACCCTTTCCTCTGACCACTTATTTACCCTATATCTTTATCTTTAAGCATGCATACAGTTTCCTTAATTTCTTTACAATATTTACATTGGCTTCACCTCTTTCAATCCATTCTATATATGTCTTTCATTGATTTTTAATTTCTTCTGTTTTATTCTTCCGTGTATCCTTCCAAATTACATATACTATAATTTTGAATTGAAACTGATTATAAATATAGTTATTCCAATTTTGTATAGTCCCATTTTTTCCATTTTTCATTACAGCTTAATCATTTTAAGCAGTTATGGTTCTTTTGTATTGTTTTTAGTATTCCCTAACACCCCCATTAACATAATTTCTTCATTCATTTTGAGTGACATTTTAAATAATTTTCCCATTTTTATATTCTTTTTCTCTCTCAAAAGAATGACTTTTGAACATTCCCACCACATATGAGCATATCAGCCTTTGCCTATACCATAATGCCAGCACATTTGGCTTATCGATCATGTATGAGAGTAGTCAAGTCAAGTTTATTCAATTCTTAGACCATAGGTCTTTCACATATAAGGCAAATAAATAAATGCATGAATACATGGTTTCTGGTTTCTCTTCAGGTCGTATAAATTTTTCGCCTTTTACTAAAAATATATGAGAGTAGAGCTCCTTCATTAAGCTCACTATTGTTTAACTTGTCAGTGAATATAACTTGTATATAATGCAAATTGTGCTCTTTCTTCTTCCCCAACCTCTTCTCCTGACCACCCAGGACATCCTCCAAACAGATGGGCTTACATCTCCTGAAGCCACCTTGACACTCAACCCAGAGGACCGTCAAGGTTATCCTGAACACCAAGGAGTACACAGATCGTTTGCCAAACAGAGATACAGGCAGACAAATGGGCATACATCTTTGCAAAGAGATGGACCCAGATCTTTCCTTCTGGATCTCCCAAATTTTCCTGACCTCTCAAAAGCAGACATCAATGGGCAAAATCCTAACATTCAGGTAAAGTTTCTCTATTATGTTTGCAATATTGAAGGTAATTTTTGATGTAACTTATGGCTTGTTGAAGCAATTTCAAATACTTAAAAATACAAAAAAAAATCTCATATCTGTGAAGTAAATTAAGTAGAATTATAATTATACAATAGATAATGAGAAAAAAAACTACATAATCTAGTTTGTAACCTGATCTCCTGAAAGGTTTGTAGACGAATATGTGCATATAGGAGAAAATGTATGTTCTTCATGGTGTCACGCATATCTTCTGTATAAACTTTAGTTTGGAGGGTAGTAGTCTACTGAACTGTGGAACAAAAATAATGTATCTCACAAGGCCTTTCCACACAGCCATATATCCCAGAATATCAAGACAGAAAATCCCACAATATCTGCTTTGAACTGGAATAACTGAGTCCACACTGCCATATATTCCAGTTCAAAGTAGAGAGTGGGATTTATTGAGCTGTGTGGAAGGGGCCAAAGCTAACAATGTAAGCAAGGTCTTCTGGAGGAATCCTTTGGAACTTCTACCATGTATTAAATTGAATGGCACATTTAAAAGCATTTGAAATATAGACTATCACCAGTTTAATGTTTCTCCTTGCATAAGATACATTTTTTTCTCTTTTGTGTTATCTCCTAGTTGATAATCTACTAGCACAATTTTCAGACAGGCATATGGAAATCTCCGTTTTCTTCATGTCTTGGTCATACACAGATTGCCCCACACATAACTACTACCATTGGCTTTTCTTTTGAAAAGGACAGGTAAATATTCACAGAGCGTGGCAGCAATCACTCATTGACTGTCATCTTACACAGAATTTCTAGGAGTGCACTAGTTTACCGCACACTGAAATGAATACAGTGCCTTTCTGTTTACTAATTATTTTGGCTGGATCTGTTTCAAGTAATGAAATATTTTTATTCAGTCCCCATGCCATTTGCGCAATTGTTTCAGTATTAACAAGACAAGAAAATATTTGAAAGAGTAACCTGAGCAGCTGTTACTTTTGTGCTATTGCTGCTTTTTTAACTTAGTTGCCAAATCAGCAGCCAAATGCACCACTGCACTCAAGTAAACGAATTCACAGGAAGTCCGTGAAAACGAGATGCTTTTTAAAGCCAGCAGTGTATTTCCTTTGGGAGCAGAGATTTCTTGGTTCTTGGTGAAAAGCTCTTTTGTTGATCACCATTGATTTGACAGATGCCAGCTCATGCGCTCATGCCAGCAAAGCAGGGCTATTCAGGGTGCAACAGGTTCACTTTCTTCTCCTTCGGAACAAAGTGAAATCATGTGTCAAGTGAGTGGGCTTGGCTGCCAAATTATTTTCAGTGTGATGTTCTTTTTGCTTTTTCAGTCCTATTTAAATATGGTTTTACTCTGAGGAGATCCTGAGCCTGGTACAGATCCTGATTTTTGAGACCTTCTTCATTTGAGGTCTTTCCTCCAGATTTTCAGGCCCTTTTACCCATACTTTCAGAGTTGTAGCCGCATTCAGCTGTGACCACAAAAAGAGAAGTCTGGTATCATGTTTCAGATTATTCATAGAATGAGACAAGAGCCCAGTTTAATTGGGTTTTATGAAGGGTTTCTTCAGAGAGCAGATACAGATGTGACTACTGACAGTTGTAAATGAATACAAGAGATACAGTGTGTGACAATGCATCATAAAATATAAACGTACACAGAATAAGAATAGTGCCCATTCACAGCAGCAGTACATAGTGAATGCATATTTCTTCTCAATGCTAGTAAGTACCTGTATTGGAACAGGAAGCCATTATCTTAAGAGTAGGATTACAGAGTAGGATTAGAACTGCTATTATATGCACAATTCATTGTTGTTCTCTGCCTCAATATATAGGGACAGGTGGGTCAGGAATACTCTGGGCTTAGGCATTCACTGGGAATTGGGTTCAGGACCCACGCATCCCCCCGTGTTATCCATATAAATTCCCCCGTGTTATCCATTAAATACAATAGTGTAGTAAAATGGTGTCCTCTATGTAAAAAAAGCAAAAATAAGGTTTGCTTTTTAGAATTTTTTTTTTGAGGGAAGGGGCAGGAGTGGAAAATCTTTTCAAGCCATGGATGGTGGGATCTGTGGATGCAGAAAATGGATACAGAGGAATTGCTGTACTTTACTAAATAGCTGTAGGCAAGCCTCTCAATGCTGCTTGACCACGCAGCATCTGCTGCCTATTCAAGCAATATTGAAAGACTTTTACCATTGTGGCAATAATGCCATGATTGTGAGTATGTAGAGACAGTGAATACAGATCAGAAAAGGTTACGCTCTGTATCCATATACATGGATACTCAAATTCAGTCCTGTAGCCAGAAAAAAAATGGCAGGGGTTGAATTTTTTCCCGTCCAAGATTACTTTTGAGGCCAGTATCTCCTGATCTGGCACAAGATCTCAACAAGGTCCATGTTTCACCTGCAGAAGAGAAGGCTGAGAGGAGACATGATGAGGACCATGTATAAATATGTGAGGGGAAGCCATGGGGAGGAGGAAGCAGGTTTGTTTTCTTCTGCCCTGGAGACTAGGATGTGGAACAATGGCTTCAAATTACAGGAAAGGAGATTCCACCTGAACACGAGAAAGAACTTCCTAACGGTCAGAGCTGTTCAGCAGTGGAACACTCTGCCCTGGAGTGTGGTGGAGGCTCCTTCTTTGGAGTCTTTGAAACAGAGGCTGGATGACCATTGATCAGGGGTGTTTTGAATGCGATTTTCCTGCTTGGCAGGGGATTGGATTGGATGGCCCATGAGGTCTCTCCCAGTTTTAGGATTCTATGATTCTATGCTAATCCCAGCAACCATGGTGAGCAAGAACAATGGTGAAAAATGCTGGAAATTGTGGTCCAACAAAATCTGAATGGCTCCATGTTTCCCATCCCTTCTTGAGGGTAATCAGACACAGATATTAGTTTGTGAGATGGGAGCCAGAATAGATTCAGATTATTGGACCCAGATGAAAAGTTGTTGTGTACCAAAATATTTTCTAAGCATCCCTTGCATTATTGGACACTTTATCATAGAAACAGGAAACCATGCATAATAGCAAACCCTGTTGAAATGAATGACTTCTGCCAGAAGTATCCTTTCTAGAAATTTGCAAGGCTCTCCAGGGCAATTCTATGGTAACCTTTGGTAGAAGCATACCACAGAATCACCTGGAGGACCTAGAAAATCCTATAGAGGATACTGACAAAGATGTGGAAGTGCAAGTACAATCCCTAAGGGAACTGGGGTCATTCTTCCATTAATTTTTTTAAAATAGGAAACCTCTGTCATTTGTATTTAATCATCATCTCATTCTTTTTCTCCTTCACCAAACCTTTAAAAAGAAGCCTGACCCAAAAAATTGGGGTTTCATCACTGTTATGTGCCATGTTAGATTCAGATGCAATGCACTTGAAAGTCTTGATATATCCATTAAAGACAAATGTAACAGATCACAGCAGGAAACATATGGCCCTCTCAATGTTGGATTATAGTTCCCATCATGTTTCCCCTGCGGTTTTGCTGGCTATGGCTGATGAGTGTTTCAGTCCAGCGTCTGGAGGCTGGTATGTTTCCAACCTCTGCTTTGTTTGTTCCAACACCACCTCTACTTTACAGCCCATGTCTTTGGACTCTTTATAAAATACTGTTTGTATTAATGCAAGTTGAGTAGCCCTTATCCAAAATGTTTGGAACCTTGAAGTGTTTTGGATCTTGGAGGGTTTTTTTTAGATTTTTGAATACCTATATTTGCATTTATGTTACATAATGAGATGTTTTGGAAATGAAAAGCAAGTCTAAACATAAAATTATTTGTGCTTTGTATACCTTATATACAATTTTTAATCATTTTGTGTGTGAAACAATTTTGTGTACATTGAATCATCCAAAAGCAAAGATGTCCATGTGGACAGTTTAGGATTTCGAAGTATTTTGGATTCAAAATAAAGAACCCAATCTGTACATCTAGAGAGGCAAGGGGAATTTGGGGAGGAAAGGGACCGCTGCCTACCTGTCGTCTTCTTCTTACGAGCATGTTTTCTTGGAATTCTTTAGGTGACCATAGAAGTGGTTGATGAAACAGACTCTGAATCTGAAAAAGACCTTCAAAAGGAAAGCAGCAAGCCCAGCTGGCCTGTCGCATCACCAGACTGGAGGACTTGGTGGCAGAGATCGGCACCCACAATCACCCGCATGAGTAGTGGTGACCAGGATTACAAGTATGATAGCACAACCGAAGACAGCAACTTCTTAAACCCTCTTAGTGGCGCATGGGATAGGCATGCCCCTAGTCACCGGACGTTTGAATCAAAGGAACAGCCAGAATATGGTAACTGAGCATTCAAACTCTCTTGCAGGCACCTTAGGTTTGTAGAAGGGGCTCTCGAGATTAGAGAATGAGTAGGTGCTGCTGACAGTGAAAAGCAGAGCATGGGAAGGCTAGGTGGAAATCAAACCAAAGTAAAACTATTACCAAAATCCTGCATCAGGAGATATATCTTTGGACTATAGAAATGATGTGTCTCCTGATGCAGTCTACCTTTATCTGCTCCAGCCCCTCCTCCATACCTCAGACAGCCATTTCCATGCCAGTGAAAAGTGAAAAAAATCCAACTGTTTTCCCTTTAGCTGGATGTACAGTTTTCCTCACGAACTTCATAGGGGATCCTCAGGAAATTCCTGAACATTGCGTTTTGAGGTATTTTGGTCATTGTGTAGTTGGAACAAATTTCTAACTCAGGGATCCTCAAACTTTTTAAACAGAGGGCCAGGTCACAGTCCCTTAAACTATTAGAGGGCCAGATTATAATTTGAAAAAAGCATGAATGAATTCCTGTGCACACGGCACATAATCTTATTTGTAGTGCAAAAAAAACTCTTTAAAACAATACAGTAATTAAAAATAAGAACAATTTTAACAAATATAAATTTATTAGTATTTCAATGGGAACTGTGGGCCTACTTTTGGTTGATGAGATAGGATTGTTGTTGTGTGCTTTCAAGTCGTTACAAACTTAGATTGACCCTGAGCGAGCGCCTGGTAAATGACCTTGGTGGGCTGCATCCGGCCCCCGGGCCTTAGTTTGAGGACCCCTGTTCTAACTTAACAACAACTGGATATTGTCGTTATAATAGCATAATTTCTATCAACACCTTCATAAAGCACTAACAGAATGCCAATGAATGTTTCAAAAGCTTTAATTGGTTACGGTCTAGGCTTTTCTTTTACTGTTGTTTGTCTTTGTGGGGTTTCCGGTTTATAGTGGCCCTAATAGGATACTATAACAGGGTTTCCTTGGCAAGATTTGTTTAGAGGTGGTTTCCTTTCCCTGAGGCTGAGAGAGTTTGACTTGCCCAAGGTTGCCTAATGACCTTCCATGGCCAAGCAGGGATTTAAACGCTGGTCTCCCGGAATCCTAGTCCAGCACTGAAATCACTACACCACACTCGCACTCTGATTAGAAGCCTAAAGGGACACACAGAGAGACAGAAATAATTTCCTGCATTCTTCAAGTGAGACTTCCTATATTGTTAATGTGACATTATCCACAAAGACGGAGAAATACTGACAGGCTTAAGGGCCATAGGGTTTGTTAAAGTCTTTTCCACCAGCTCTCTGTTTATGTGTTTTGTTTTTTGTTGGAGCTCGGAAAAAGAGAAGAGCTGATTGAGGAGTAAGCATGCTCACTGAACACCAAATACTAAATGTCTGCAAGGGAACAGGGAATGGGAAAAGGGGAAAGGGATGTTCGTGGTAGAGTGGACTCTCCTGAAAAGAAGCATAGCTGATTTGATTTTGAATAGCTGTGGGCACTGCTGCAGCATTGAGTTGCAAGGTTTCACCTCAATGCACCTAAATCAAAAAGCAAAACATATTGTTTCCTTGCTGTGTCTGTGTTTTTAAGTGTACCAGTTATTCTTCTGTCAGTTTTTCTTGTTCTAGATCTGTTTTTGATATTTTTTTTCAGATTATATAGATGGTGAAGGAGATTGGAGCCCTTGGTCCATTTGTAGCATCACGTGTGGAAGTGGGAATCAGAAGCGCACTAGAACTTGTGGATACGCCTGCACAGCCACTGAATCAAGGACATGTGACAGGCCAAACTGCCCAGGTAAAGCTTTGCTAAATAGCTTCGATTCAGGTATCAGAAGTGGTTATAATGCCATGCCAGTGAGAAGTTTTGTATTGGGTTATTCATCCTGTATGTAAATGGTACGAGATATTTGGAACGATCACTTTTAAGGAGGCTTTCCAGAAAACAAGACCAGAATCAACGGGGTTTTGACTCTAAAGATTTCTAGAATCTTTCTGTAATACAGTCGGACAGCAAAATAATTCATGCTTTATGCCTACTGATTTCAACAAGGGCTGCAGTCAAGAGAAAACTGCATTTCTTGCCAACACACACTAGATGGGGTATCATAGTATTAAGAGGACCCTGCCACCTGAAGTTCTAATTGCTTTCTCTATTATTCTATTGTTTTAAAAATAGTTTTTAAAATTGTGCATTGGAGTTTTTGCAGTGAAACTAGATTTTATAGAACAGGAAAACCTAATACTGTGCAATCTATTTTATGTTCCGCTAATAAAAATATCTATGAAGGATCTAGGCCAAAATGCCTCAGTTTGGTGTCTTGCTTGCAGTGCAGCACATTTTATCTATAATCAAGGAGCCTTTCACCTGAATGCAAGCATGCTGGTAACCAAAGATGGGTTTAGCCATTAAAGTATTCTAAACACAACTCTTCACCACTGTTAGATCTATAACAACCCTGTCATTTTTTGACAGTTGTTACCTCCTCTGCAGGCAAAGACAAACATTTCCTAGTGAAGGGGAGAAAATGGGATTTCCCAGTAGCTCCAACATGGAGACAAATACCAGCCTATCTAGAGCGTAATACCACCACCATCCAGTGTACAAAATACATCGCCAACACAAGCAACTTCATACAACAATTATAGAATAAACATTGCGGGGGTCATGCTCCTAACAGTGGGTAGGCTAGTTGCTCGGACACAAGCTAAGATATAATAGATGGCATTTCTCAATTTAATTTTAGTTGTTAAGTTACAATTTGCTTTTATATGTTGAGTTGTCAACTCTTGTTATTGTTTGCTTATAGCTTGTTATGTTTAGACATTGAATGTATGCCTTTTATTATTGGAATCCACCCTGAGTCCCTTCAGGGAGATAGAGCAGAATACAAATAGATTATTATTATTATTATTATTATTATTATTATTATTATTATTATTATTTACTTATTATATTATATTATATTATATTATATTATATTATATTATATTATATTACATTGGAGAGTATGAGCATATCTACTCATTCTTGCTTCTTGTGTTGGAATTTTTTCATGTTGGCATGATTTCCAACAGATACACTATATTTATTTTTGAACATTTGCACTGTCATGTGTGTCAGTCACATTGTCTTAATAAAACTGTAATACCAGTATTACATCCTGTTTTTTTATAAAAATAAAATAAAAACCTGCTAGTTTAGCAGCTGGAAACTCTACACTTTCTGGCACTGCAGATCATAAAATAAAGGGGAAAAAATCTCCTCCGCCTTTTCTAGTTGTTGGAGTTCCTAAGGTTTTTGTGATTGCCAATAGAGCTTGAAAATTTGGACGTTTCATAATACAGCACAAAGGAGTGCTTAAATTCTGCATTCATCTCTAGGCAATTTTAAATATCGAAAAGAAAAGAGGCCAGGTGGGTGGATGAGCAAAACTTGCCAGACCTTTTTCTGTGCATTGAACCCAATGTTTTGTTGGGATCCAAATGTAAGCGTCATTCCCTCATACAGTCTGTCTCTCCCCCTGAGCGAATGCAAGAATTTAAAGAGCACGAATGTTATGAGAAACGCTAACCCTGCTGGGATGCTGATGCAAGCACAATGTTTCCTCTGCCCTTTCATTATTTCCTATTAAGGGAAAAAAACTGCTTTCTTTAGGGATTGAAGACACCTTCAGGACAGCAGCCACAGAAGTGAGTTTGCTTGCAGGGAGCGAGGAATTCAACGCTACGAAGCTTTTTGAAGTCGGTAAGCAGCAGAAAGCATCCTTTTTCAAAACTGGATCAAATGAGCAAGTTGCACATGGTATGGCAAAAGCCTCTTTTAACAGGAAAAAAGCCTTCCTTGAAGAGAAGTAGCACATGCCTCAGGAAGGGAAGTGAGCTCTCAGGTCCTAGCAGCGTTTTGTGGCCTTTGAATGAGATAGGAACATGGCCCTTTCCCCAATTATTGATCTCCTTAATACATTTATATCATGCAAATAAGAGAGGCTAACAAATGAATTCAAATTCTCATTTAGGATCCTGTATGGAATTTACATATGTGTAAGGGGCCGTGTTAGTGTGTGTGAGGGTGTGTGTGTGAGGAGCAACTTCAGAAACTGCAAGTCATTTCTGGTGTGAAAGAATTGGCCATCTGCAAGGACATTGCCTAGGAACGCCCTGATGTTTCTGATGTTTTAGCATCCTTGTGGAAGGCTTCTCTCATGTCCCCACATGGGGAGCTGGAGCTGACAGTTCATCCACGCTCTCCCCGGATTCGAACTTCCGACCTGTCAGTCTTCAGTCCTACCGGAACATGGGTTTAATCCACTGCGCCACCGGGGGCTCCAGTGGTCGTGGTGGCACAGTGGGCTAAACAGCTAAGCTGTAGGACTTGGTAATCAGAAGATCAGTGGTTTGAATCTGGGAAGTGGGGTGAGCTTCTGTAGTTAGGCCCAGCTTCTGCCAACTTAGGTGTTTGAAAATATGCAAATGTGAGTACATCAATAGGTACCGTTTCTGTAGGAAGGTAATGGCGCTCCATGCAGTCATGCTGGCCACATGACCTTGGAGGTGTCTATGGACAATGCCAGCTCTTTGGCTTAGAAATGGAGATGAGCACCACCCCGCCAGAGTCGGACACAAGTGGACTTAATGTCAAGGGGAAACCTTTACCTTTAAGCACCACGATTGGGATACTCTGTAGTGAATCCTAGCCCAAAGCCTCAAAAAGCCTAAGCTTATGTTTTATAGGGATTTATTTCCAGCACATGAATTGACCCTATAAAAAGATGAGTCACTAGAGAAGCCATTATGACAAGGGGGTCATGAGTTCCCTGTCATCAAACTGTCCTTGAGCAGAATCTTCCAACCAGTTTCAAAGGCAGCCCCGCATAAACCCTGTTAAGAGTTTTATAGATGGGATGTCACAAAGGCATGTGCCATTCTGACCACGTCCTTTATCTCCAGAAATAAGTCACTGGCTTTTTAAATCACTGTAAGAAAGCTTTTATTAAAGATAAGAAACAAAAGCTGAGCATGTTGGTTGAATACACATTTGCAGAGGGAAGGGGCTGTATTCTGTTGCCTGGATACTATGACACTCTCTGCTCATGCCAGGTTGAATACTATTCATATGGAGCATTGCAAGGCTCTGCATTTTCTTGAAAGTTTAGAGAGATATTTCACCACATCTATTTCCCACCTCATTATTCATAGGGACCCTGCTAGTAGGACATCCTGATTCTCACAGATATCTTGCTGTCTCTGCACATATTTCAGGTCTGGAATGTGAATCACTTATGGCTCTAGTTATAAAGAACTCTTCCAATACCTTCAGTGAAAAGGTTATCATTTTCATGCTTCAGAGCAGCTGGGTGTTCGGCCAAAAACTAACAAAACAAAGACCAAATAAATATTTGCCTTTCTGGTGATCCTGAAGTATTGCACACCTATTTCAAGTTTTAGCACAGCTGCGAAATGTTTTAGAATCTGCCTTGTTTTCAGTTGAAGACATTCAGGTTGGAAACTGTAGCAAACACAGCTTGGCAGTGAAGCTGATACTTGCATATCTGTTTTGAAGCATTAGCATCCATCTGCTGCAAATTATCTTGCTGAATTCACACCGGGTTGTGTGCACATGCACGCAGAATCATCATGTTTTTCCCATTTCTTTCATGAGATAACTGGTTGAATGTTAAGGGTTGGAAGAAGACTATCACCAGAAAATCTAACTTCTCTATGTTTGAGATACGTGGGATGAAATTCCGTTAGGTACATCTGTACATGTCACTTTCTATTTGGAGGAATGTCCTTTTTGGGTGCTCAGAGGATTGATGTCCCCTTCCTCTCTCGGCAAAAGTTTATCCCTTTCTGGCTCTGCCATGCTTCACGGTGAGCAGGCAAACCCTGAGAAGCTGTGAAATATGGAGCGGCCACGCAGGGTGGTTTCAGGGGCTTCAGAGTAAGATGAGGGAGTGTCTATGGATCAGCGAAGCATACGTCCCCGTGCAGATACTTACATTGTGTTGAAGGGATGTGGGATTGAGGACTATCATCCCATTAGAGACATGAACAAACATGATTCTGTCATTTTTGGTCATTGCAGAGGTTGATATTCCCTGCTTCTTGACCAAAGCTTGTTCACTGCAGTACCACCACCCTACACATTTGTGTGGATGGATGGATGGATGGATGGATGGATGGATGGATGGATGGATGGATGGATGGATGGATGGAAAAAGAGGGAGAGAGGGAGGGAAGAAGGAAGGGAAAAGAAGGAAAGGAAGAGAAAGAGAGGATGGGGTAAGAAAAAAAGGTAGGAAAAAGAGAAGAATGGAGGAAGGGGAAAAAGACTGGGAGAGAGGAAAAAGCAAGGGAAGAAGGGAGTGAGAGAAGGAAGAAAGAGAGAAGGAATGATCAGTATGAAACAAAAAGGGAAGAACCATAGAGAGTGTGGTGTAGTAGACTGAACCTCAGACTATGACTCTGACCGTACTGGGTAATTTTAGGTAAGTCACATTCTCAGCCTCAGCGGAAGACAAAGACAAATCCCCTTTGAATAAATTGACAAGAAAACTCTTGTCTGAAAACTCTTAACTCTTAAAACTCTTAAGTCTGAAATGACTTGAAGGCACACAACAACAACCTATCATCTGGCCCTCCAACAGTCTGTGGGACTGTGAATTGGCTCTCAATTTAACAATAAGTTTGACGACCCCTGGTTTAATAACAATAATAATAATAATAATAATAATAATAATAATAATAACTTTATTTATACCCTGCCACCATTTCTCCAAGGGGACTCAGGGCAGCTTACATGAGGCCAAGCCCAACAATAATACATCAGTAAAAACAACACAGCAGCAAAATAAAATACAATACAAAGCATTATAAATAAGCAGTAAAACAGAAAATTTAAAATACAAGAATCCAACACTGTGGGCACGGCCAAATGTAATAAGTTAAAAATTTAAAACACTGGGTGTGAACAGCTGTCGAGTACGTCTAAACGGGGTTTTAGAGGGTAATGTAGGCAATTACTCCAACGGGTAGATAAAGTGCTTCCGAGGACATTTTGCAGAAAATCAGTCAGATCAGGGTATTGTTTCCTTTATTCAGGGAAGGCACATTAGAACAGCCAAGTTTTCAAGCTCTTCCTAAAGACTGCCAATGTGAGGGCTTGCCTGATGCCCTTGGGGAGTGAGTTCCAGAGTCAGGGGGCCACCATAGAGAAGGCCCTCTCCCTCGTCCCACCAGTCGCACCTGCAAGGGGGACGGGAGCGAGAACAGGGCCTCTCTGGACGATTGAAGAGATCGCGTGGGTTCGTACACAGAAATGCGGTCACGCAGGTAGGCGGGTCCCAAACCATTCAGGGCTTTGTAGGTGAGAACCTGCACCTTGAATTGGGAGCGGAAAATGAACGGCAGCCAATGGAGCTCCTTAAACAGGGAGGTTGACCGCTCCCTGTAAGTCGCTCCAGTTAGTAATCTGGCTGCCGCCCGTTGGACCAATTGAAATTTCTGAGCTGTTTTTAATTCAGAAGCCCCCAGTGAATCTTGGAGGGAGTTCTAATTTTTGTCTAGCTCTGGGATCATTGCAGAAATCTTATGTTACATTCAGTCGTGTATGATCTTGGCCTATGAGACACATTTTGAATTTCAAGGCAATAAGTTTTCATTGTCCTACCTCTCTCTTCTTGCTACCCCCCAGACACTGACAGCTGTGAAAGATGGATGAGTTGCAAAAGTGAATTCTTGAAGAAATACATGCACAAAGTGGTCAATGACCTTCCTGCATGTCCTTGCGCGTACCCCACAGAGGTGGCCTATAGCACTGCAGATATCTATGACCGGATGAAGCGGAAGAACTTTCGTTGGAAAGACGCAAGTGGGCCGAAGGAGAAACTGGAAATCTACAAGCCTACTGCTCGCTACTGTATCCGGTCCATGCTGTCCTTGGAGAGCACCACGCTGGCAGCACAACACTGCTGCTATGATGATAGCATGCAGCTCATTACGAGGGGCAAAGGAGCGGGCACGCCCAACCTGATCAGCATTGAATTCTCAGCAGAACTCCATTACAAAGTGGATATTTTGCCCTGGATCATCTGCAAAGGGGACTGGAGCAGATACAATGAAGCTCGTCCACCTAACAATGGCCAGAAGTGTACAGAGAATCCTTCAGAAGAGGACTATTACAAACAGTTTCAGGAAGCAAGGGAGTATTGAAGGGGCAAAGTAAAGGAATTGTCCTGTGTCAGAGCCTACAGAACATAGGCAATTGACTAAGAGGACACCAAATCCAATAAACTCTTGGCAAAAGGAGTAAACTTCTTCCCCTTTCCCACTTATTTTGTATAGCTGTATAGTATACCCATTTTTTTTCAAAATTGTGTGTTATTTATATATGCCTATACAAACATTACAAACAGATATGAAGTTATCTTGATAGACATTTATATGGTGGTTTGCATCCTGCAGCATGGTTTTATCTTTGAACATCATATTCAATGCAGAATCCCATTACAATCATCAGCTGAGGGCAGTCGCTAAATCTGTTGCATTTTGTGGGGAAAGCCCAATTTCTGGTGGCTAAAAAATTAGACCTCAATGACTCAGATCCTTTGGTGCAAACCTGCTCATTTAGAAGGGACATTTCCTACTGGAAACAATACCTTGTTGGACTACCAACTAAAAATTATTATGTGGTTTTAAGACTGCCTCTAGTGGTACTTTTTATGCTGAGGAGCAAGAACAAGTTCCACAGCAGCATCAACAAAAATGGAGTAACAGGAATAAATTGTGCCTCTTTAGGAAGTCAGCTTGTATCAAAAGGCCCATGTTTTGTGATTGGCGTCAATGAGTTCAAAACAATGCCAACAGCCTCCTACAATTACATAAAGTGTGTGATTCTGGAAGGTAGAGGAGCACTTCCTCGACTGTCTGGTTCCCTCAAAGCCAAGGAAATGGGAGTGAGAAGTAGGAAGCCATTTCTGACATGAATTATTTAATAAAAATGCAATTGCTAAGCCTAATTGCTTTACAACTGTATACGTGAAAATATTTAGACATATTTGAGAGATGAAGCAAGGAAACTTGTGAAGCAGGTAGCCACAATACACAAAGCAAACCCATGCTTCCTTTGTTCCTTGCTTTGTTTTGTTTTTGAACTTGCATTTGCTTTGCAACTCAAACTGTATGGGCACACATATCCCCACCCCCCTCCCCATTGCAAATAGGATCTTGGCCTCTGTGCAATAAAGCTGGTGGAAGTGGGCATATCTGTCATGCACAAAGCAAAAGCAAGGCCATTATCTTTAGAATGAGGGGTCAAATTAAAGTAGTCACAAAACAAACTAGTTAATTGCAAATGCTGCAGCAGCGTTTCTGAATTGACAATGGGCTTGCATAATTGATCAATAGACTGTTTGCTTTATGGCTCAGGGTGGTAACTTCCCATGTCTAGAGTATCTGTGTACTTGGATTGGATATGTCTTTTGGAAAGGCATGGCCTTGTTAGAAATCATAATCTTTTGGAAAACCACTGGTCACAAAACCTTTTTGAAGAAACCAAGAATCTTTTTGGGAAACCAAGAATCTTCCTGAGAAGAGTTGAAAACTTGCTTGGGTCAAAATTCTTCTTGATGGTAAACATCCACTAGTATTCATTCAAGGCAATTAGGTTTCTCAGCTGTTAAACTGAAATCCTAGATGTCTCTTTGAACTGTTAGGGACAAAGATATGCCAATGCACAAAAAGATATATATAGGGGGGGGGGGGAGAGAATTTCAGAAGTGTTCTCTTCAGTGCCCAAAAACATCTACTCTCCCTTAAAACATCTTGGTTTAAACTATGTTCTCAAAAGACCAAAATAAGTAGACTTCTTTAAAATTGGCATTGTTGGTTTATTCACAAACTTCATGTATTCAGCATACAGGTACTTTGCTTATCAATCCAGTTACAGATGAGATTTGAAGTAGTTTCTCTGTGCAGATAACACAGGGCATTTTTCTTAGAATTAGCAGTTCATAGTCTAAAGCAGTGGTTCTCAACCTGTGGGTCCCCAGTTGTTTTGGCCAACAACTCCCAGATATCCTAGCCAGTTTACCAGCTGTTAGGATTTCTGGGAGTTGAAGGCCAAAACATCTGGGGACCCACAGGTTAAGAACCACTAGTCTAAAGCATCTCTCTGGTCTGAGAGTCTAATGGAGTCTCTTCTCTAACTAAAGCAGTCTGTTTCTACATACTTCTAAACTGTACTGTACTGCTACTGAAGCAAACACACACACACACAATTCTAAAATGGAGTCTGAGATCTGAATAGTCCCAGATCTGATCACATGGTATACTGCCCCTCCCACAAGAAAGAGTTTAAGGAAAACTGCAAACCAATACACACATACAATACATAAGAAATCTCAATTATATATAAACAAGTAACTAGTATAGCAGGCTTGTAGAAGGTTACTATTTCCAACAATGTCAGCTCATTTTCTGATTTAGAGCCCTTCTAACTAATGCATGATCATATCATGGTCTACATCCTCAGTTTCGGGGAGAAAATGGCTTGCACCCTATTAGTGACATAAGCATTTCTAATTTTGGATACAGTGAAGGTTGCATTGTGCCAGTATACCATATTCTGTGAATGGAAGACATTATGCAAAAGAACATTTTCTCCTTTATAAGCTTCTATCAGTGAATGGATGTGGAATTATACCTTTTAAAATTCAATTGCATTATTTTTATAGTGTATTTGTTATATAAGCTTTACTAAGAATGGATCTGCAACATTAACTGAGCAAAGGAAAGAGTTTACTGGAAGGTACCAATAAGTCCATGAGAGGAATGACACATAAATCCAAAGCAAATGTACGAATAAAGCCATGCTCACTCATCTGCCAGCTTGCATTCTCGTAAAGTGAAGGTAACAAGGCAGTGCTGAGTGAGGTAGAATGGGGAAGGCGCCTGTGGTTGAGATATGTCAGAGCAGGTAAATGCAAGAGAGACATAGGATGGCTATTTCCAAGACCACCCATCCACCCACAGTTACTTTGGGTAAAGTGGATTAAGGAGTTGTGTTAATGGTCTTACTAGTAATTGAGGGCAGAATTGTAGGAGAAGGATGTAGGAGGCAGAATCAAAACATAATTTCCATTGTGAAATTTAACGAAATTGTTAAAACTCTATTAATGCAGACGATTGCAGCAAGACTTGTCAAGGTGAAAGGAAGGAACTATTTCAGAGTTTGCCTCTCACCTCATTTATTAAAATCTCATTGCTTCTGGTCTGCCAAAACTAGGAACACTTTGGCAGACCACAACAATATATTTTCAGGATCACTACAGCTTTTCCCAGCAAACCAAGCCTGGCACAGCTCGCGAGGAAAAAATGTTTCTCCCTCTGTGGTCTTCAGTAATAGCATTCTAAAATAATATTCCTGTTATTGTTTTTGCTTGGGGAAAATGGTTTTATAGCCTGTTAGATTTAGTATCCCATTGACAACTTTGATAGAACGTGGTCCAATTTTACTTCTGGCCCCAGCTTGGAGAAGTACATTGGTGGCTGGGCCTCAGTTGGGTAAGTAATGAAGTGTGACTCTGTGTACAATGTAATGAAATCTTTCTTAACATAACATGGAATGTACCTAATCAGAGATCAGAAAATCATAACATCCTTTATATATATATACCCTATGGAGACACTAGTGGAGTAGTGGGTGTGTGGATGTGAGCAAATGAGAAAGTACGTGACCAGGCACTTCAGCTCAAGTTTGCTTAGGAATTGCCTAACTACCAACACTGGGGATGATTTGAACTAAAGGGGAGGCACTCACCCTACTTGGTCCTTAGCCACCAGTGATTAAAACAGCCCTGTCCTAAAATAATGATGGGGGAAACGCAACCAGGGTCAGAAAAGGGAGAACCGGTTTATATGTGGTCCAGGCAGAGGCACAGGTATACATACACATTTTCAAGCAAGTATGAGATTTACATAGCAATTATCATTGAGATCTGAACTGGAGCGTGGTTTCTGGTTATGAAGTTGTAATGGGTTTAAGAAGTGGAAATGGAATTTCATTACTAGTATAATAAGGAGCACTTTCCTACCTCTGTGCTTCTTCCTGCTCTTTCCTCTATCCCCTCCCCACAAAAGAGTAACAAAACTAACCAAAAAATGTCAGGAGCATCACCAGTAATGCACTGAGTTACTCTCAGCCCTCCACGTGTCACAGGTTCACAAGATTCCTGCAAAAGTGGGAAAACAGTGACTTAAAAAGCACACATCTCCAGGAATCTTTAGGTCCTCCATGGAAAGGTGGCCATAGAGTCATGCTGGAGGACCTAGAGATTCATAATTAATTTGTCAAATAATCAAATCCACAAAATATGGAAGGTGACACATTTCTTTCAAAACACTATAACAGGAGTCCTCAAACTAAGGCCCGGGGGCCGGATGCGCCCTCCAAGGTCATTTACCCGGCACTCGCTCAGGGTCAACCTAAGTCTGAAACAACTTGAAAGCACACAACAACAACAACAATCCTATCTCATCAGCCAAAAGCAGGCCCACACTTCCCATTGAAATACTAATAAGTTAATATTTGTTAAAATTGTTCTTCATTTTAATTATTGTATTGTTTTAAAGTGTTTTTTGCACTACAAATAAGATATGTGCACTGTGCATAGGAATTCATTCATGCTTTTTTCAAATTATAATCTGGCCCTCCACCAGTTTGAGGGGCTGTGACCTGGCCCTCTGTTTAAAAAGTTTGTGGACCCCTGCCATAGACATACAACATATATAGACAGTCACACAGAGGCTATTTAAAATTTCAGCTTTATCATGAGGGTATTCTGGCCACCACGGGAGATGTCATTTCACCATCCATTTGTGACATTGATGAAGTACTTCCTCATTCTTTGCATGCTGGAGATTTTTATGGCGTCGTAAATTAGCCTCCCTGGATAAGCGGTACCTACATTTCCTACTTGACAGATGCAACTGTCTTCCAGGCTGCAAAGGCCAACAGCAAGCTACACAATTTGGTCAGAAGCTCACTCAGACCCGGGCTGGCTTTGAACTCATGACCTTTTTGTCAGTAGAGATCTTAATGCAGCTGACTCCCAGCCAGCTATGCCAAAGTCCCAGTACTTCTTTGGAAATGAACTTAATCATCACTGACACCTCCACGTTTGATGGAATTGGACACAATGGCCTATGGGACCCCTTTGGGACCTCTTTCAGCTCCATGATTCTGTGTTCATGAAAGGATGGAGCTAGCTCTAGCCCACTGACTCACTGTGGATTCTGTTCTGCTCATTCTTTCTGCAGTATTTTGGAATAGGCCCATCACACACATTCCTCTGCCAAAACATACCAGCTGCATGTCATCTCATGCCATTCAGTAAGAAATCTGGCACATTGCATAAAGGCTTGGAA